GTGTTCTATGTAATAAGATACTGTATGTTCCAACTTATGTTCTTTCATGTGCCAAGACATGCTGTTGATCGTAATATCTGTAGGAGAAGATTTCCTCTGGATTCTGACTAATACCATTTCATCTATTATTGAGAGTAACAGACTGAGATACAAAATTGTAACCTTCATTTTCCTGAAGAGGTGATTTTAAATCCCCCACAGTATACAGGGCTGGAAGCAGGATTATAACTTAGGGTGATAATAATATTAATAGCGAAATAATCCAATGCTCAGCAGCTGCACCTCACACATATGATGTTAAATAGTGCAATGTACTGTCAACAGAAGTTAATGCCTTCAATAAACCTTACTACTATGCTAATCCATTCGGTGGTTCTGAGTTAAAGAAGAGCTGTGGAAACAGATTTATTTACTTTACAAATTTCCTTAGCTATCATATCAAGAGATGGAAAGTATCATGTGTTCCTGAAATCACAATACTTAAGTAACAAATGTGCAGTATGATTAGAAACTATTTTTAAAGAACAAATTCAAGCATAAAACTGTATCAATAATGCTTGTACCTTTGTCAGGATAATACATAAGAAATTTATCAAACAGCTCATGCTGTAGAGGCTGCTTCTCTGTTGTAGTATAAGGAAAAATGTCCTCATGAGCAACATAGTCCAGACCTGGGATTGCGTATAAACTGCGACTGCTATCCTGGTTGCCAAGGAATGTCACAGCTTCTGTCTGAGCCCGCTGAAATTCCAACAGATAATATAGGTACAAAGAAATTATTATAAAAATATTTGATATGTTAAATATATCATTGCCTGAGTACTGGAGTTTTCTATCTCCAGATTTAGGTAAAAATGAGATAATACACTTTTCTGATTCTATATACTGTGTTGCACTATCTCCACATACTCCATACGTTTACCTTACTTGTGAGTGTAAGATTTCAGACTGTATTTGTTCTAAGTCACACCTGAACTGAAGACAAAGTAACGTCAGACACGCTTTCCTGAAATTTGGTGCTGATGGACACAGTACACTCCAGTATTCAGGTGAAGATATATAGATCTAAGATAGACAAAATAACAGGAGAACTGTGAATTAGGGGCTCCATGATTTGTGCTATCACCTAATATTATCAGAAAGATAAATCAAAGAACTGGTGGATGAATGTAGCACACATTGGAAAATGTTAACTTCTAACAAAATTTTTTCTTGAGAAGTTTTAGGGTAAAAAAATCACTTGGATGACCTAGGTACATGTAGGAGTTATGGTAATAGTGTGCCTCTGTGCCTATTCACCAGGCTATGAAGGCATACAGGGGGCAGGAAGAATAGAAATCCACACATTCTAGAACTATACAGTAAATGGATATGACAGAACATAATGAACAAGGATATTAACCTCTTCAATGGATAATCATTTAAGGGTTTTCAAGTAAATGTCTGTACTTCTAAAAAGTCTCTAAAGATGTTAATTTATAAAAATATGATTCCTAATATTTACTGGTATGAAATTTAACAGTTGGACCGATTATGTGAGAAATGAAGAAGTGTTATTTAGAGTCAGTGAGCAGAGGAATATCCTACACGAAATAAGAAAACGGAAGGCTAATTGGATTCGTCATATCTTACATGGTAACTGCCTTCTAAAAGAAGTTACTGAAGGAAAGATAGAGGGGCGGATAGAAGTGACCAGAAGACGAGGAAGAAGACATAAGAAGATGCTGGATGACCTTGGGGACAGAAGAGGATATTCTCATTTGAAGGAGAAAGCTCTAGATCGCATCAAGTGGAGGAACTGTTTTGGAAGAGACTGTGGACATGTCGTCTTGACAGATTACTGATGAATGAATGAATGAAATTTAACAGACTGTGGGGTTTATCTTACCACAAAAGATCGAGTTTATTCCTTCATACTGACATGCTAAATAAATTATTTATTATCATTAATGACTACAAGAATAACACAATTATTCAGTTTTTCTTCACATATCATCTGCTAGGTAAACTATATTTCTAGACAAAAGAAAAATATATGTGCAGTATTCACAACAACTTTGGTAAGTACTCCTTGTTATAAATATTATTCATGGTTATAACTATCAAGAGGTTCATAAAAGTAGCTTAAGTTAAAATTTCAGATTTTGAATATGTTTTTTTCCTGCAGATTCATGATTAAAACACATATATTACACAATAACCATTAATATGTATGGAGATTACTGTCTCCATGATGCTGTGTAGCCTGGAAGAATTGTACTGATGCTTAAGAGGTATAAACTGCTGTACCTGCAATAGTGGCAAAAGTAGCAGAACCAGACACATATACAAATTAACACTTTTAATTCTTTTACAATGCTTCATGTAAAGCCTTTTTGCATGGTGAATACAAACCACACATATAGAACATAGTGTTTTATGTTAGTGACTAGACAGTGTTTGGATTGATGACTGAATTTACTGAACATTTATAATGTGTAACTACAGGTTACTGTAACAGTTTCATGGATGTATACACTCCATAGATCACTGTAATTGCAACAGACATGGTCTTGTACATTTTCATTATTCGTTACCTACTTACAGTTCCCTACAACAAACATTCATCTGCTTCCAAGCTCATGTAGCACACAAATAGATTGTAAAAATTATACATTAAACAAATTAAAGAATGTATCAAAGCATAACAATTCTGGCATGTTCACTCCCATATTTTTAAATATGTCAAAGACCATAACACACAAAATGTGTGTTTCATTTTCCTCTACAGCATTTGTTCAAAATATTTTGTATCCCAACAAAGGTTCAGCGAGTTAAAAGCAAGTTATTTTACATGTAGAAAAGCATGTAGGTCTTCACAGAAAGTGTCCATTATTGTTGTCTGATTTCAATAAAAATTTAAATGTGTTGACAAAATTAAGCAAAATTCTACAATACAAAATTTCATGAAAATCTATTTAATGGTCCTTCGGTTCTTACACATGGACAGATGGATAAAAATCATAAAGCTAATATGTCCAATTTTACAACCTTCCACTGTAAATATTCTAAATATGAAACAAGGAACAGTAATATTAGAAGAACACAATTTCTGTTGACTTTTCTACATAAAGTTTACACAGTGTAGAGAAGATTAAGATTTTACATACAGCACATATCGGTGATAATGTAGTTATAGATGTAGCAGGCACAGTTTATATTTAAAAACTCTTTACCATGTGGTACCACATAGCATGGAAGATCATGCTCTGGACAGCAAGAGACTGTTTCTCTCTCCTAAACTTCTCAGAAAAGTATACCTGGCATCTCCTTCTTGAGTGGGAACTGTTAGTACCCTTGTGTCCAGCAGCCATCAATAGTGGTGCTTATGCAGATCCGCATGGCATACATGTAAAATTTCTATACTTCTTCATTAGTGCCTTCATTCTTCTTGCATCAGGCCAAGGAGTTGAAGACTGCAATGTCAATGATGGTGCCCAAATATCTTCATGTAGTATTCTTTCAGATATTTCCTGACCATGTCTTGCACGTCACCTTGCACTGTTCAGCAATATCCACCCTGCCCATTACTTTCATGTACTTGACATTCATAATGGTTTAAGACTTTATTTTCAGCCCTTATCTTTGCTGTGGACTGTACATATCACATTAAAGTCCCCTTGTCATCAACATGGGTTTCTTTCTAAAAGCTCTTTCTGTTGTTCTTCGGCAACCAAAGCATGATGGTTTCCAGTTCACACAGTTTATTAATGAGTGTGATTTATGATGTTCCTTATTATGCAGCTTTCTCCAGACTACTGTTACTTCTTCCCTCTTAGATCCAAATATTCTCCTCAGCACCAAGGTCTCATATATCATCAATCCATGCTGTCATTAATATCAGAGACCAAATTTCACACCCATAAAAATAACAGATAAAATCATAGTTCAGTACATCCTAATCTCTACATTTTTGGACCGGAGAAAGAAAGACAAAACATTGTGAACTGAATGGTGTCAAGTATGTCCTGAATTGAATCTGCTTTCTTTTTATCTGTGATTGAAATTCTAATCAGTTATCATTCTTCCAAATGTTTCAGCTCTTTTTTGAAAGATTAGTAGCTACATTTAAATTATTATTTTGTCATTCAAACAAGCAATGAGACATGTACATACACTTAGTTGTTAAAAACATTAATTTGTTACTCATTGTATTGTGATGACATTGTATGTATATTTTAGCATTTATAAAACATATTGTGATAGTGGATCCTAATTGTACTGATATCCTTCTGAAGAGGGTCTATAAGACCAAACCACAGATACACCAAAATTAATGAAACCTTGCAAATTAGACAATTCTCAATGATTCTGGAAATTCCATTTCCAACCAAATGTATTTTACATGCCTAATTAACATTAATATGAATCTTACTTTCACAGCTCTGCTAGTTCAGTACAAAAAGTCTGTACTACTAGTACGACTGGGACAAGATTTTTTCACAACGTGAATGAGTATGTAGTTTCTTCCTTCATACAGGGGATATTATTCTGGTAATATGTTTATTTTTATAGACACTGTCTAAGGACAAGTCTCTGAACTTTTACTCCAAAGCTGGCGAAGTGCCAGGTCATTGTTAAAATTTTAGTTTTTGATGAAGGCTGTCTTTTGCCTTTTGAAAGCCCAAAATACAAAGTGTACATGGGATCTGTTTTAAGTGAACCTCCTGTAAGTTCATTTCTGTGGATGCGCATATACCAGTACCTACAATGTAAGGACAGTCTCTGGAGTCTATCAACACCTGATAGAATGTGTGTGTCCGTCCCTTCACCTCCTTGCCCACATGATTATAGTTTGCATCATCTGGGCTGCAAACAAGAACAAGGACATAACGATACTATGAAGAAATGAATCTGACTATTTAGAATACAGTTCCAAGCGAAAAAAAAATTTATAACATGGAATGTTCTCAATACAAACCATCTTTAAAAATCTAAAGATAATGCTTATTAATTCAAGTTGGTAAGACCGTGTGATTAACTACACAATTTCTTTCGTGAAGATGGTGTCACAGTGAGGAAGAACATTCCTAGCATTATAGAAGATGAAAATTAATGACAAAATATATAAGAATTATGCAATCTCTCTTTTTTTGGCATTTTCAGGTCTTTTATGTTTATTCTAGCATTTCCCTTGCAACAACACATATGCAAATGCTTGATAAGACATAGATTCTAAATACTTCAATATTTCCTGCATTTTAAGTTTCAAATCCCCAATTTTATATTTTCTCAAATTCGTGTTTCTAACGTGGTTTACTTCAGTAACAATATAAATGTCAGTTCTCATGAACACATCCAAACAAAATTAAAATACCATTTTGTGTAGGGGTTCACACATGTGTGCACATGCATCCCCATGCGCATGCACATACGCAAAGACATGCAATTTTGAAATTCTTTAAGTCTCAGATAAACAAATATTATTTGCCTCACATGAAATCTGTTGTACGGTATGGACTTTACATATTCGCTACACACACTTATATGAAACATAAGGAAGCAAATACTGTTTTAATTCTCATAACAAATGGAAGATATGTGAATATTAAGAGATGCATACCTATCTCTCTTGTTAGGTATATCCCTGTCATAGACTCTTGCCAGCCATGGAAACAAGACCACACCTCGATACCCAAATACTCGATGTAGAAATAACTGACCAGTGTCATATTTACCCTGAATTTTAGGTGTTTCTAATCTCCCAACTTCTGCTAATCTGGAAGCACATGGAAGACATTATTTATAGCATGAACATACAGCTTGACTTCATATTATGTTCTTAAAGACAGAAATAACTCTTTTATTTCGTTATAGTTCACTTAACAATGATGTCAACAGTTCTGAATGTATAGTGTCAAACGACAGGATGACTAACGAATGAGGAATTGGAAAGGAATGGAACAAAATATTCATGGTCTAGTCAAATGTATTATTCCAGAATTTTCCTGGCAAGACTGAGGAAAATAATGAAAAACCTCAACCAAGGAAAGTAGGTGTCCTGGCCATGATTGGAACTGAGCCAACCTACTCAGTGAATACAAACAACTATGTTCCACCTTCATACAACTACCTATCTTGTTGCATGATTCAAGAACCTGGCAGCAAACAAGCAGAACACAATTCAATCTACACAGCCAGGACATAGGTTTGGTTGTATTCTGAGCAATTCATGACATCCTGAACCTAACTGTGCCATCTGTTGGCAGAGCAACACCATTCCCCGATTTCAAAGTCTCCCCTGCAGTGAGCTATGCGATCTTGAAACACCTTACAGAAAACAATCTAAAGATGCTTCAATACATAAGCTTAATTACTTAATTAATTAAGCACATCATGAAAATGTGTGAGGGAGTGATGGTATAGCTCCATCATTCTTCACCTTGGCACTACATTTCTAAAGACAGTATTATGCATCTCAAAGTATGCACTGACCAGACTAGAATATGCTCTTGCTGGAACAATTTTCTTCACTGAAAACATTAAGCAGACAAATATTCTCCCAGAAACCAGAGAGAACTATAAGAGAGGGACAAAGTGCCAGTCACCATACTGGACAAGTTCTACTGTACACATGGCATGTTAACAGATGGCTGTAAGAACCAAATTTCTAACTATGATCGTCTACAGTTAACTTCCTGCTCATGGTGTCTGTGGAAGGATTGGCACAGACAGGGGCTATCATGAGTCTGGTTACACTTGTTACCCAGTGAAATTAGGTGTACTGCAAGGAAGTGTGATGGGGCCTCTATTATACTTAATATGTACTGCAAACTTGCCAATAACAAACAATACAACTGCAACCTTCGTGGATGACACAGCCCTGCTAGCAGCAAATAATGATCCAGCAGTAGCAACACAATATCTTCAACATCACTTAAACCTCCTCCAGCAGTGGTACATCAAATGGAAAATCAAAATAAACCAGACAAAATCAGTGTAAGTTACATTCACCACAAAACGCACAATTTGCCCACAGGTTACCATCAATTATATGCAAATACTGACCCAAACCGAAGTAAAATACTTGGGATTATACCACGACCAAAAACTGACATGGCAGAAATACTTCAAAACAAAGTGTCAGAAATTAAATTTCAAACTACGAGAAACTTCCTGGCTTTTGGGCTGTAAATGTAAGCTATCCATAGAAAACAAACTTCTACTATATAAGTGTATGATAAAACCCATATGGACATATGGCATACAGCTATGGGGCTGTACAAAACCATCAAACACAAAAATAATTCAACAACTTCAATCCAACTTCTTGTGTTCAGTAACTGAAGCACCTAGGTATGTGTCCAACTTTACCACACACAATCATCTGCAAATAACATCTGTCATAGAAGAAATACATAGATTGTCAACATTCTACCATCAAAGCATACTCGAACACAATAACATACTAGTTATAGAAATTAGCAACCCACCAAATGTAAGAAGACTGAGGAGACAGTGGCAGTCTGACCTACCACAACTCGCTGAAGACGAAGATTTAAACCATCACCAATCCTCTACAGGGCCTGTCAGAGTATCATCCGTGGATGACTTCTCTACTCAAGACATCTACTTAGAACAAATTTACTTATTACTCCATATTATCGAGAGTAGACTGTAAATATGTTATTAATTAAGTAAATATATAAAAAAATGTGTTGTGCCAGCTGCACATGCTACCATCTACTAAGGAGTTTATATGCAGAAAGCTAGTGACAATAAAACAAGGCATTTCAACACTCAGTATCTCATTTATATATACTCTGCAAAAGTTGTGTTCTGTTCTATACATTTATTTTCAAATATTGTAAACACAAAGTAATTTATTCCACTGCAATATTTTTCTCCACTAAACTTACTGACCTCAGTATAATTCATTAATTATTTGTAATTTCATCTTGTGGTCATGAGCCGGGATAGTTCAGTCTGTATATTAATGGGCTACAGGCTGGATGGCCGCGGTTCGATTCCCGGCAGGGGTTAGAGATTGTTCTCTTCCCCACAGGGCCCAGACCGGCTCTGAGGCACATCCACTTTCCTATCCAATGGGTACCGGCGGCTCCTTCTACAAAAGTAAAGCAGCCAGGATGTGATGCTGGCCACTCACATCCATAGTGCCCAGGTCAGGAATGGTGAAGCTGCACCCCCACTGGCCCATACATCTTCATGGCGTGATGGTTAACTAATTAGGCACAAGGACATCTGTAACTTTACCTTCACCTTGCGGTCAAAGTTACTCATGATTTCAAGGTTATGTGACATTGTTTATTTACAACAAAAGCACAAAGAACTTATATCGACGACAAGCATATTCCTAGACTGACTCACCTCGTGTAATGCATAGTCTGATCAGTGAATATTCGAATGGTTACACCTAACAGATTTTTCTTTACACACTTTGTCAGTCCTATCATTAATTCCATATCGATTATGTATACAATCAAAACATCTAACAAAATTCTAATCACGTATGATGGCTTTACAGCTCAGCCAACTACATATTACAAATGTCCCTGATAATCACAGATCCTACGCGTAACGCTACATTATGAACATTCGGAATGATACAGTCTTCGAAAATGTGTTAGTACTCGTACTAGCTCCATGACGGTGTTTAATGGCACAGATGGATGGAAGTAGATGTTACGAATCAGATACTACGCGAAATATCATTTTATGGGATCCATGTACATCAGCGCTTGAGGTGGAATGAAAATAGAACCGGGATGGTTTTCCCTTTTTAATTCATAGGCATTTACTGCCAAAGAAGTAACGGGATGTAGTTACTATAGGATTATGACGATGGTGTATAACACACTGATATGTAGGGAGTTTGGACTTCATCCATCGTCCAGTGATTGAGGCTAGCTCTTTCTAAGGGACCCAACTGAATAGGTGTTTTCCTTCACCTGAGGACGGAAACAGATCCAGTTTCCGAAACGTCGTGTTTTTATTTGTTATCTTAAAAACCAGGACGATGGATAAAGTCCAAAATCCCAACATATCAAGTAACGGGATGTTTTAAGCCATTTAGAAAAGAACCGGGATACCATCCCGCGGCATCCCGCCCCCCTTCAAGCCCTGTTTATAGTCAAGATTCACATAAATGCCCAACCAGCCAACTACAGTCTTTCTGGACACAAAACTTTTCTCAGCATTCTATGAATATTCTCTGCCAGCTTTCAGTATCAAAGATATGTAT